CGCGCCTCCAGGTCTAGTTCACCGGGGAAGTTGGAGAACCGAGCTGCGCCGTATTTGCCGGGCTGAACCGAGACACAGCTACTTATGAAAATGCAGGAGCTATCCATCCATCCATTGTTGTTTTACTGTCAACTGCTCTGTACTTGCTTTGCTCTTTAACTCTTTAACCGTCTTGCTCCCTCTCTGCCTTGCTTCATCTTCTCACCAAGTGTAAAAGCCTGCGTCTCTTCTTTATTCCTCGAGAGCTCATAGATAAGCAAGGCAGAGCAGTCCAGAAACACCTTCACAATGTCTGGCCCTCCCTCGCGTATTCGCTCCATCCTCAACCATCTTCGGCCTCACCCCGCCGCGTCTCCAAGCTTCCACACCCTCTCCCCGACCACCTTTCTCGAGCGCGCCGCCTCGATTGAGCCCGACGCCGAAGCCATCTTCCACATTACCGTCAACGGTGCCGTCCTGCGACGTTCATACGCTGAGTTTGCCGATCGCGCACGCGGCCTGGCCTACTACCTCCTCAAGCATGGCTACCGTCGAGTCGGCATCCTCGCCCCCAACACGCCTGCCTTTCTCGAGTCCATCTACGGCATCGTCGCTGCTGGCGCTGTGATTGTCCCGGCAAACTACCGCCTGAAGCCTGATGATATTTCTTACATCTTTGACTTTGCCGAGGTGGACTGCATTGTCGTGGATAACGAGTTCGTTGGCCTGCTTGATTTGTACAAGGAGAAGCACCAAAATGTGCCATTCATTGTTGATCTGGTAAGTAATTGTAGCACTGGATCCGAGCTTTTGTCTAACTTATCCCTACAGGACACCGATGCGACAGAAGGCCAGCTCTGTGGTCCCTTTGACGAAGCCGTTCTCGAGGGTTTGAAGCACGACATTGATCAGGGCAGCCAGGGTTGGGCAGGTCTCCACGCTCAGGCTCGAAGTGAGGATGATATGTTGGCCATTCCATTCACCTCTGGAACAACTTCGCGTCCCAAGGGTGTTGTCTACACTCACCGGGGTGCCTACTTGGCTACCCTAGCCAACATCATTGAGTCTGGTCTCAACATTGGACGCTGCAAGTATCTCTGGACTCTTCCCATGTAAGTCTGCAATGATTTATTCAAGTCGCTTAATCTAACTGATGGCGCAGGTTCCATGCCATTGGTTGGACATTCCCTTGGTCAACTGTGGCTGTTAGGGGCACCAATGTCTGTCTCCGAAAGGTTGATTACCCGCTCCTCTGGAAGCTCCTGAAGGAGGAGGGTATCACACATTTCAATGCTGCCCCCACTGTCAACACATTGCTGGTCGCTGCCAAGGAGGCCGAGAGGTTGCCTCGGGAAGTCAAGGTCACTGTGGCCGCCAGCCCTCCCAGCGGTCATCTCTTTGAGCAGATGGTAAGTCAAGAACTTTATTGAACATAGGAGCATACTGACGTGGCATAATAGACTAACCTCAATCTCATTCCCGTTCACGTTTATGGAATGACAGGTTCGTAACCTACAACAGTCACTCAAACTTATTACTAACAACTCTTTAGAAACCTATGGTCCCATCACCAAGTGCTATACCCTTCCTGAGTGGGATGATCTCCCTCCTCATGAAAAGTATGCCAAGATGGCCCGCCAAGGTCACGGCTTCATCACTAGTCTCCCCATCCGTATTATCAAGCCGGACCAGCCCCAGGGCGTCCTCATCGACGTGGCCAAGGATGGCAAGGAGATTGGTGAGATCGTCTTCCTCGGAAACATCTGCGCCAAGGAGTACTACAAGGACCCCGAGGCCACGCGCCAGCTCTTTGCAGGAGGCGTGCTTCACTCGGGCGATCTTGCAGTCTGGCACCCAGACGGTAGCGCTCAGATCCTAGACCGAGCAAAGGACATTATCATTTCAGGAGGCGAGAACATTTCGTCGGTTGCCCTTGAGAGCATGTTAGTGGAGCACCCCGACGTGCTCGAGGCGGGTGTTGTCTCCGTGCCTGACTCTCACTGGGGTGAGCGACCAAAGGCCTATGTCACCGTCAAGGAGGGCAAGGCCGTGACGGGAGATGAGATCATCTCGTGGGCCAAGCACCAGAGTGATATCAGTAGATTCATGGTTCCTCGTGAGGTGGAGGTTGTTAACGAGCTGCCCAAGACCAGCACGGGCAAGATCAAGAAGAATGTCCTTAGGGAGTGGGCTAAGCATGGCAGGGAGCAATCTGGTGGCAAGTCATAGTAAGCGAACGGAGTAGGGTCGTTCTTGGGTATCTTTTCTATCAAATACTTTTGTATATAGCATTTCAGCTTTTCTTACAGCGGTAAAATGCAAATGAGGCGCTTGGATCTCACAAGATAAACATATTTCTCTTCCACTTCTCAGTCCACATTCATCTTGAACACAGCTCCTTTTGACCCCTCATCCAATGTATCCAGTGCCGCCATATCATCCTGGTCCAGCTCAAAGTTGAAGACGTCAAGATTCTCGCGGATGCGGTCCGGCCGCACGCTCTTTGGTAATGGAACCCAACCCTTCTGTAACGCGTATCGAATAAGGACCTGAGCAGGCGTCTTTCCCTTCCTGGTCGCTATACTCTGGACCGTCGGGTCATCTAGCCGGGTGCCCGTGGCCAGCGGGCTATAGGCCTCGACTATAATGCCATGGGTTTGGCAGTAAGCTACCACATCTCGCTGCTGGCACCAAGGATGAAGCTGATACACTTTAATGTCAGAGTAACTCTCAATATTTCGAACGAATGACTCACCTCGATTTGATTCACGCTTGGGGGCCAAGTTGTCGCATACTCTCTCATCTCCTCCAGATGCCGTACACGAAAGTTACTCACACCAATAGTCTTTGCTCTTCCCTCATTTCGAAGTCTCTCCATGGCGGCCCAAAGCTTCTCACGGTGTGTACGGGATGGTCCAGGGACGTGAATCAGCAGCAAATCAACATAGCCATCCTCGCCAGCGATGCGATCCACACTATCTACAACTTGGCGATACACTCCATCCTCATCATTCGCTTGGCTCTTTTTAGCGGTGGGGCTCCCGACCTTTGTCGTCAGAAACACATCTTTTCGGACCACGCTGGATTGCTCAACGGCGGCGCGAACGTGTTGCTCGTTGCGGTAGAGAGCGGCTGAGTCAATATGTCTGTACCCTGCAGAGAGGGCTTCGATGACAGCCGATGTGCAAGCTGGACCACGGATTTTATAGACGCCAAGGCCGATTCGGGGGACTGAAGCTGTAGAGTTGACAAGGGCGAGGCGGTCGATGAGGGTGAGTGCTTGCGAGCCCATGGTGTAAGTCTGGTGTTGCTGCCTGGTTATGACACAGGTTGAACTAGGTATGCAGTTCTAAAAGCTCCATGTAAGACGACCAAAAATCAAGCGTGGTTTGCCCCGCTAATTTACTCTTTACTAAGCACAAATTGCACGTATTAGAGTCACAGCATGTCAGAGAGGTCGATAATTGAGAGGGAGTGACTTACATGCAGTGGGAGCACCCGGTAATGTAAGACCAAAGCTGAAGGAATACATGTTTCTTCATCCCATTAACATTTTTTTTTTTTAATTCCAGGTCCTTTTCAAACCATATCCCTATAAGCGGATACATAGTCTACATGGTAGTTATCTGCAGAACTGTATAATGCCAATAACAAGTTGACATTGCTAAAACATAGGGTAGGTTATCTCATCAAGGCACCGAGGAGTAGACATCAGGGTCTCCGTTTCAAAACCGTCATCAACAAAACGGCATGAATCTTTCCAAGTCTCGATAGGGCATAATTGTAGGGTAGTTAAAATGTGAACGAAAAGGGCGAGACTGGCTAGGCTGTAAGAATACCCTCCTTGGCTTGCACCTTGGGATGCTCAATATCAGCCCACGGCCTCAACCCTGTTGTTTACCAAGCCAACGGTCACGACGATGACATAACTGGTAATATCTACGCTAACTCGGGATTGGATATCCCAACTATTGGTCATCGGTTGTCGCAACCTTGGCATATCGGAAGCTGAGTCGCTAAGCATTCAACGACTGAGGCACAAACCATCACACTTTATCGTTTGAAGATGTAGATCACTACCCACAGCTTCCAGGAACAGGCAAAGTTGAGCACTGTCCGTGAACTTGACGTATGACGTGCCGGGTAGAACCCTGCCTCTGATCCCTCGACCGCACGGTCAGTCGGTTCCGCAAAGTCGGTCGACGTGCTTAAGCGATGAGTGTTCTAGGACGTAGATACTGCCAACCCAACATGTTGGGATTGTCTTCCTTGTCTGTTGAAGGATTAAGGGCTGAATTGTTGGTGTTGCACATGGCGCCGCATAACGCTCTATACACGTGAGGATGGGAGTAACATGGATCCTGTTGCCGCGAAAGGATCCCATATTTGTTTCATTTACTACTAACCTAGGTGTTCTTTGTTCTATCGTCGCCATTTCGAGTCTGTCCAGAAACGCTCATCTTTCTTGATTGCCCAAGCATCAGTTCAAGATTGCCATGACACATAGACCCTGCCCAACAGCAACAGCTGATTTTGTTTCTTGGCAGCCTGTTGGCTGTGACATGATTGAGCTTTTTTCATATATGCATTTTGACCCAGCAAGCACGTCATGAGGATCCCTGGTTCTCTCACGACAAAATCATGCTTCATGGCCCAGGCATTTAGAACGTGAAATGCGGTGATACTAGAGTGTTTGCTGATTGCTATAGGCTCTACCTCAGGCAGATTGCTACCAAGTCCGATAGATACAGATACGAGCATAACAGCCTTGTCCTAGCAATCAATGTAGAGTGATATGTCTGGGTGTATTTCTCATAACCAGGATTCAATGGTGTCATGAGGCAACCAAACCTGACCTGCATCAAGAGCTATCGCCGTTATATATCCCATCATGACCAGTCCGTGTAAGACATCTATCACCAGCTCTTCAGTATTTGTGTAAAGAAACACTATTGCTGGGCTCGATCAACCCGCATCGTATTATTGATTCGATCCAGCAAATCATACCAAACACAACCATCATGTTCAAGTCGGACGAGGAGCCTCCCACAGAGACAATCAATGTTGAGACGGAGAGAGTTCAAGGTGAGTAGACCAACACGAATATGGTAATTACACAATTAACAGTAAACAGTGAAATGGTATCGTTCAACGCTCTACAATGCCACCATTCTCGGCCTCTGTAGCTTTGCGGCACCTGGTCTATGGGGAGCAATGAACTCTCTTGGAGCCGGAGGAGCCCAGAAGCCATATCTCGTCAACACAGGCAACTCACTCACGTTTTGTCTCATGATCGTCTCATGCTGGTTCACCAGTAGCATCGTCAAATACATCGGTATCAAAGGAGCCTTGGTTGTCGGCACGGTCGGTTTCGCCCCGTACAGCGCTGGCTTGTATCTCAACGTTCGTTACGGAGTTGAATGGCTTGTCATCTTTGGGGCTGCCTGCTGTGGCATCTCAGCCGGCATCTTTTGGGCTGCTGAGGCAGCTATCGGTGTTAGCTACCCAGAGCCCAGAAACAGAGGGAGACTTGTTGCGTATTGGCTTTCATACACACGACTAGGTCAGATTCTCGGCGGTGCTATTAACCTCGGTCTCAATGCAGACAGGAAAGAAGCAGGCAAGGTTTCTTACAACGTCTATCTCATCTTCATCGTGCTTCAAGCTCTGGGGCCCTTCGCGGCGCTATTGTTGAACCGTCCCTCACAGGTTCAGCGACATGATGGCAAACCCGTTGATCTCTCCATTTTCGATAATCCCTGGACCGAGTTTAAAGCAACGACACGGACTTTTCTAAAGAAGAAGGAATTGCTGTTGCTAATCCTCTGGATTGGACAGGCATTCTACTCGGAAGCAGTCTTCTTTAGCTACATCGCCCTCTACTTTAGTGTACGAGCAAGAGCACTTGGTTCATTTCTCTCAGGCATAGTGGCTGTTGTAGCAGGCTGGATCCTAGGCATCTGGCTCGATCAACACCATCTCCCCCTCAAGGCACGAGCACGCTGGGCTTTTTGCACCATCATGACCCTCCAGGGAGCCTGGTGGCTCTGGCTGACGGTCAACGCAACAGAATATCACAACAGACAAACACCGCCGACCTACGACTGGAACGACGCAGGCTTCGGACGCGCCTTTGGAGTCTTCATCTTCCTCCTGGCAGGTCTCCAGCTCAACTTTAACTTTCAGTACTTCCTCATCGGGCAGATCTCGACGGGCCCGCAGGACACGATCCGGCTGGCGTCCATTTTCCGGGCGGTTGAGTCGGCGTGGCAGGCCGTGAGCTACGGGCTGGGCTCGGTTCCCATCATGGCGGCTGTCGGCAGCGCGTACATCAACTTTGGGCTGTGGGGATTGTCGCTGTTTCCGGCGTGGCTTGTGATAAGGAGGATCGGGGAGGTGGACAAGGGGGAGAGTGAGACTGAGCAGGAGATCACGGTGTCCAAGGTTTAGGCAGCACTCTTCAAAGTGTAGCACATTCTCTCCAATGCCGTGAGACCAACACACAAAGAATATGCAACTGGAACACAAAGAATCCAGGCGATGAACAAAGTGGAACATATTGGAATCACCCGCGTGGGACCGTCACTCATGATAGTGGGGCCGTCGTTATTCTAGAAGACCCCACAGGGCGCTAGAGCACCATGGAAATGTCGTCACTGCCTGTTGAAAGCTCCCGCTCCAGGCAGGCTTCAGTGGGTTCCCGCAGGTGACACTGGAACTGACCTGGGCTGACGGGTGGAAGGTGGTGGCACGCATGGAATGGCCCATCACCAAAAACCTAGTTACCCGTCACCTACTTCAACCTCTCGTCACATTCTCTCCCCAAATTCTTTTCTGCCACCCTCAAGCGCAACTCTTACCATATCGTAAATCCTCTAGTCTTGGACTCAATTCCCGAATACTGCCCCTCCGACTAGCTCGACGACAGCTCTAAAACAATCATGAGCACTCTCCGGCCTCTGCGGGGCGGCTGTCAATGTGGCCGAAATCGTTACATCATCGCCGTTCCTCAGGAGGGCATCAGCGAAGCTCAGGTCCTGTTCAATACTGAGCCTGTCCACCGTAAGTTGGTCCTCTTTTCTATGAAACAAGATCGCGCACGGCATGCGAACACTGCCAATTGATCCCAGATCAAGAGATCATCAACTAACAGCCCTCCAGAAATTCCACTTGCAACCCCACTAGCCGCCTACATCCGAGTGCCTCTATCTTGGTACCACAGCACCACCTATGCCTTTTTCCCAGACGAGACGCACACCTTGATCCGAAGGGTATACACCCATCCCAGCCAGGAACACTCGAAACGGCACTTCTGCGGCTACTGCGGTACCCCCTTGTCGTACTGGTCCGAAGACCCGCGAAGCGAAGCCGACTACATCAACCTCACGCTTGGTAGCTTGCTGAGAGAGGATCTTCGAGACCTTGAGGACATGGGGTTGATTCCAGAGGAGAGCGAACAGCAGAGAACTGCATCGGAGCAGACGGCCGAGAGAGTGGGCAGAAGCACAGCTCTACGCCAGTCGTATGGAGTTCCGTGGTTCGACGGCATGGTCGAAGGAACCCGGCTGGGCAGCATGCGGCGTAGCCAAGGCGTCAGACAGTCTCAGAACGGCCGTGTCAGGGTTGAGTGGGAGATTGTAGAATTCTCAGGGAGCAGCGAAGGAGAAGAAGCGGGAGGGTCGGCGGGCCAGGCCGGAAAGACGGGTGAGGAAGACGTTGAGATGGAGCTATCACACCCCGGGAAGCGGAAGCTGAAGGATAGAGACGACTCAGAAGCCACTTCATAGGGAAGGTGAGATCTGATATTCGGTTGGCACAAGTGCAGAGACTGGATGTAATGGTTGGAGTCTGGAAGCTGATGACTTATTAAGCAATGTTTGCTCAGAGATGCGTATTAGTGATACTTTCAAGCAATCGACAGCGTGTTTAGAGTTCGACAAACACCTTCGTCTTTGAACTTGAGGAATGGGCTATGAACAGCCAAGGCAGTTCTCTCGAGAAAAGTTGAGCCGGATATGAGTTGTGCCATGGCTCAGTATCATGATATGCTACCTCATGGTGGGTCATATCGCAACTACCCGGTACCTGCTCCGGGGATGACCTGTGTTGAGAAAAAACCGCATACTGTCAATATGAGATATGCATCGTTCCTGTACTTACATGCAGGTTTTCCTTGATAACGCCTTGATTTGCTCCGGACAACTTTTTGAGTAGGTCGAAACTGAAGGTGACACTCCTCGGCCGTGGGTGTAGTACATAGACTGGGATGTGAGTTGTTGGGAATCACAACAGACCAATACCGTCATAAGCAATTGAATTATCCGTATAAGCCTGTTTCGCCTCATCGTGCGTCGTGTTCGGCGTCAATATCTTTCATGTGAAAAGCGATTGTGAAATTTAGGGCGGGTCTGGTGTTTCGGGCCTGGGAGCCATCGTCGGCCGGGACGCTCGGGGCAATGCAGGCCGGGCCGTTTAACAAAGTGGGGACAAGCGCCGAGAGACAGAAGTTGCAGAAGCAGAAGAGAATTGTTTCCAAGAGCTGACGGTCCTAGATCTCCATGACAACAGACTAGACAAGCCACGTGCCTAATGCGAAACGCCGTATCTGACGGAGTTTTTCCCAGTCATGCGTTTAGTTTCTCCGGCGAGTGAGGCAAAGCAAACCAACGCTCGGCCCTATGTGTGCTGTGCTGCATTCTGGGCGGGCGAGGGCGTGTATGGATATGCCGAAGTTCTGGCGCTGGCGGGCTGTCGTGGCGCCGGAGAGGCGGGCCGAAGGCTCGAGGAGACCCAGACGAGGAAGAATCGTCTGACGGGTCTGGGTCTAGGAGGTCCTTGTACGCGGGAAAAGAGGGGAAGCGGCAGGATGCAGAGGATTGGGACTGGAGTGTCTGCCAAGGATTGAGAATCTATTGACTTGTAAAAGGAATCAATTGATGAAAAGCTTTTGAGAAAGTTGATGAGGGATGTAAATACAAGCTGGAGTTGGAAAGCCTCATCCCAAGTTTGCGGGGAGTGGCAGGGTTTTGACAACGCAGGAGCTCCCTCGGGTCCCACCATCTCAACTCAGAAAGGTACCTGCCTCGGTGCCTTCCCTGTATGGATATGGGGGCACCAACCACAAACCGCCAACATCCATGACCTTCCCCCTCTGCATTTGATCTTAATCCCGTCAACTAAACACTGCCCACCCCCACCCCAGCTCTCGTGGCAGATGATCCCGCCAACGGCTAATACGGTCCGACAGGACGTCCATTTGACTTGGGCATATGCTCCTGTGCTTAATTGCCAAGCTGCAGACGAGGCCATGGACCTAGAACCGACAGCCCATGTTCTGCCTTCTGCGGGCAGCTATTTAACATGACCAGCTCGCCTGCTTTAGCAAACTTGACCTCTTCTTCTTCTTCCTTTCTCCTCTCAGTCACCTTTCCCTATCTTCAGTCCATCCTTCTCGTCAACCTCAGTTGTGACTGTTTGTTGTTGGACTCAGCCGACCTCTGAACTGGCTACGTGGAGTTGACGGCTATATACGACATCACCAAAACCACTATCCTCCACCATATAGCTTGAGCTATTGCCCACCATGTCTCTCCCCGCCGACTTCAAGTGGGGCTTTGCCACCGCCTCGTGAGTTCTCTCGGCCTTGTCTTCTATTAAGAACCTCAATTGACAACCTTGGCAGTTACCAGATTGAGGGCTCCATTCACAAGGATGGCCGTGGTGTTGCCAACTGGGACGTGTTCTGTGACAAGCCCGGCAAGATTGCTGACGGCAGCTCTGGTGTCACCGCCTGCGACTCTTACAACCGCACTGCTGAGGATATCGCTCTTCTCAAGTCGGTTGGCGCCAAGGCCTACCGTTTCTCCATCTGCTGGTCTCGAATCATCCCTCTCGGTGGCCGAAACGACCCCATTAACCAGGCAGGTATCGATCACTACCGCAAGTTTGTCGACGACCTCCTCGACGCTGGCATTACCCCTTTCATCACCCTCTTCCACTGGGATGTTCCCCACGAGCTTGATGTCCGCTACGGTGGTCTCCTGAACCGCACCGAGTTCCCTCTCGACTACGAACGCTATGCCCGTGTCATGTTTGAGAACATTCCTCGCTGCAAGAACTGGATTACCCACAATGAACCCTGGTGCTCGTCTATCCTCGGCTACAGCACGGGCTCCAATGCCCCCGGACGTTGCTCTGACCGAACCAAGTCTGATGTTGGCGACTCATCCCGCGAGCCCTGGATCGTTGGCCACAACCTCCTTGTTGCCCACGGCCGCGCCGTCAAGGTTTACCGTGAGGAATTTAAGCCCAAGAACGGTGGCGAGATTGGTATCACTCTCAACGGTGATGCCACTTTCCCTTGGGATCCCAAAGACCCCAGGGATGTCGAAGCTGCTACCCGCAAGATCGAGTTCGCCATCTCCTGGTTCGCCGACCCCATCTACCTGGGTGACTACCCGGCCTCGATGCGCGCCCAGCTTGGCGATCGCCTCCCCACCTTTACCCCTGAAGAGATTGCGCTTGTCAAGGGCTCCAATGATTTTTATGGCATGAACCACTATACTGCCAACTATGTCAAGCACCGCGATGGAGAGGCCCCGGCCGACGACTTCCTCGGAAACCTGGAGCTTCACTTCTGGAACTACCGCGGCGATTGCATCGGCCCCGAGACCCAGTCGACTTGGCTGCGACCCTGTGCCCCCGGCTTCCGCGACCTGCTTGTCTGGCTCTCTAAGCGTTACGGATTCCCCAGGATGTACGTGACTGAGAACGGAACTAGCATCAAGGGCGAAAACGACATGCCCAGGGAGAAGATTCTCGAGGACGACTTCCGAGCCCAGTACTATGACGACTACGTCAAGGCCATGGCTGATGCCTCGAGACTCGACGGTGTTGACGTTCACGGCTACTTTGCCTGGTCTCTGCTAGACAACTTTGAGTGGGCCGAGGGATACGAGACTCGATTCGGCGTCACCTACGTCGACTATGAGCACGACCAGAAGCGTTACCCCAAGAAGAGCGCCCAACATCTGGCTCCCCTGTTTGATAGCCTCATCAGAAAGGAGGACCCAAAAGTAGAGAGTAAGTAAGAGAAAGCCAGGGACTAAAGTGAAGTTGACTGGGGAATAATGCCACCAATCTCGGCCGGAATATGATTGACGGATGGATGAATTTTTTTTTTTTGAATAGTAGTTTAGTTTATGCCACTTGAAAGGGGGTATATGGAAGTGACGGATAACTGGGTTTCACTACCTTGAATTGATTACTTAAAATATTTGCCTTGTTCAAGTCCTATTATTTTGCAATATGTGTCTTGGACTAGGTGTCAAGTATCCTGCCTAGTCAGCTCGCTGTTCCTTTGATACGTTCTGGTCAACTGTGCCCTTTGAAGGTTCATGTTGCTGAGTTTGCCCCTCAGTTATTTGTTGTGGTTCAGGAGTATCGCCTCCTATTTCCTCATCCTCTTCGGTCTTGTCAATTCCACGCCGCATATACCAACGAAATAGGTAAACTACCATCTGGGCCATAAACACCTGCTCAATCGTATAAAGCAGCACAGGGATCTGGATATAAGCGCGCGTGAGGTCATCGGCCCTTGCCCACATGGCGCTCACCAACGGAATTCCCAAGCTCGTAGTCTTGGCCGCTCCACAGAAGCACACAGCAATGGTTTGCTCTTTCGACATGCGGGCTGGGAGTAGAGCTCTGGGTAGACGCCTGCCGAGCCACGATGAGGACGCCCATCCTACGAAGCGCTCCGGTGGACGAGCCGCGTAGAAGCATATGACGGTGAAGATGGCGTATAGGGCAACGTTGATCAGGACGTTGAAGACGACGTTGCTTGATGAGAGGTCCTTTAAGGCACCTGTTCCGAAAGCGCCAGAGAAAGTGGTCCACACGAGGAGAACGAGACACAGTGTGGAAACCTTGGCCAACTTGAGGGTTTCCAGGACCTTTACCGTCTTCTCTTCCCACGTCCATCGGATAACCTGACCCACGGCGAGGGGCAGCACGACACTAAGCCCCAGCTGCTTAGCGACATCGGCGTACATGTGTCCAAGAGTAGCAGGACTAGCAGGACGCCAGTCATCAAACGACTCGGGGTGACCCGAGGGAAAGAAGCCGTAGATAAGCAGCGGCGAGAGAAAGGACCCAGCGACGTTGCCGAGTACCACTGAAATGATGGCCGCTGCGTCGTCTCCGCCTGCTGATCGCGTCATTACTACATTGGATGCGATTGTCGTCGGGAGGCAAGCTGTTGCGAGGAGTCCGATAAGGATTGGTGGCGAGGGCGTCTGAGATTTAAGAGCTCCTGCAGCAATGGAGATGTGAACGACGGCTGCTCAATTAGCTCATAGTTCTATACACGCTGTGAAAACTGTAGCTTACCAAGTACAATAGCTGGGATGACGGCAAAGCTGATGCCCTGGACGAGGATATGCAACCTCCAGTTCGTCACATTCTTTCGTAGCTTCCCCGGCGAGAGCTGTAGACCGCTGACGAGAAAGATGAAGGCGACGGCGCCGTAGAGGATGCTATACTCTGAGCGGATGACACCTCCATGTTGAGCGACGGCTATCAAAAGAAACTGTCAGTAAGGGCTCTCTGTAAAGGGGTTGAGGAAGAAAAAAAAACCATACACGGGGCATAGTATCCCACGACACAAGCAATCGCGAACCCAATGATGAGGTATTGTGCCAAGATCAAGTTTCCCACCCTCTTGATCCAGTAAAGCACACCTCGACTGTCCGAAACCTCGGAGACGGACATGGCTCTTTGTTATTCAATGTATCCATCTTGGATAATGTCAGAGAAGAAAAAAAGAGAAGCTCCCTGTCCGGGGTCGGAGGTATTCGAAGGAATTGTGTCATTCGCATCTGGCCCGGCTTGGCGGTGGGAGAGGACGGGGCCGCCCGCGTTATTACCGCCATCACGACATTGATAGGGCGGAGTTTTAAATGTCCATGACCCTTGACCTGGTCGAGGAAAAAGAGCTGTAAACTCTTTGGCTTTACTCTTCTAAAAGATGGTGAATAGAGTATAACCAGAACAGGCAAATATGCTCCCAAAGTTTTTGCCTTTATCATCATGTGTCTTAAGCCAATTACTATGCTTGAGAGGAGAAATTTAAGTGCCTCTTTTGTTTCTCGACTCGCGCGCCAGGTTGGATACGCCTTTGGCAGTGTCCATCAGTCAATTTACGGAACGTCAAGCGGTTGGTAGAAGTAGAGACAATAGCAGTAACAATGGACAAGTAAAGTCCAAAACAATTCATCGTGAATTACATATTGATACAATTAGATAGGTACTAACGCGCACGCAGATTAACGAATACTTCTCCCCAGCTTCGCCCGGATCCTTCTCCGAAACGCATCGTAAAACCAGGGAGTCCAGCCATCTAGAGTCAAAAGACGAGCCCATCCACCAAAACCTCGTGTCAAAAAGGAAACGCGGCATCCAACACCGCCAACAACTTTTCTATCCAGGGCATCCGCCTCGAGCAAATCCAAAAAGAAAATAAACTGATCCAGGGGAAAACGCCATGCCATGGGTGATGATGGTATCTTAAAGATGGGTTAAAAAAAAAAGGGAAATAGGGTGCCGCAAGTCTGAGCGTATAAACAGACAGGCTCTGTGTAGGTATCTCATCAAGAGGGGCCCTGTTCATGAAAGGAGCTTCTCATTCGTCGTCAAGAGATTAAAGAAGGTATAGTATGTTGAAAGGGGATTGACAAGCCAAAGGTCAATTGGTCCAAGGAATGAAGGAATTGTAAAGTGCGAGACGGGCTGATCAAGCCATGATAGCCGGGACTGGGTCTAGAGGTAAGGCTGTTCTCGAGTCGCCGGGATTGGTGGTGCTGGGAGCCGGAGCAATCTCTGGATCTGGGATCTGGATATCAAGCTGTAACAAATGTCAGTATTGCAGTTCTCATAAGAAACCATCACAACTTACAGTCATGTAGCCTGTTTGCCGGAGGGGCATGATCTTGGGCGCCATGGCTCCATCTTCAGACCCCATGGCCTTTTCCATGTCGAGGTTCCATTGATCAATCCATTTCTCGAGACTATTCAACCGAGACTTGATTCCAGTGAAACCTAGGTCGTCCCAGATCCAGCCTGTCACGAGTCCAAGTAGGCTATCCAAGATATTTCTCGCTCCGTATGGGTTGAACGCCGGTATCAGTTCACCGTTGAGCTTCTCAATAATCCGTCGGAATTCTTGCTCCGACAGGCCAGCAGGGTCCAGGATTTCGGGATACAAGTTGGAAAAGGTAGGCGCCAAATCGCCTTGGATCAACCAGTCGCGTCGTATCCGAATAATGCGCGTGTTGACATACTCGGGCGAGTCGATAGGGACGTGAGGGTTCAGGTGAGGGTAGCAGGGATGTTGAGGTCCCCATTCTCCAGCCGCATCTGGCTCGACTTCTTCACCCATAATGGAAGAATCCGTCGATGAGAGGGCCGATCCGATGCCGTCCCCAGCTGAGACATTGGAAATTCGCGGGTCCATTATATCGGGACCCCGTTCCAAGTCCTTGCCGAAAGACGGCATTGGATCATCGTTCTCCGGCATCATTACAGCCTTTCCCTTTCCCTTGTCGAGTTTGACGGGTGCGTCTTCCACGATGTCACCCTCTGCAGGTACTTTGCTGGTTTGGGGTTCGGATTCTCCGGCTGAAGCGACACCACGGCGAGATCGCGTCTCGTCGTAGGAAGCGCGAACTGACGATGGAAGGCTCACTCGTTTATCACTACTTCCAGTCCGATCAACCTGGAGACTAGCACGGGTCGATAGAGAGTGGCGGGTCTGACGCTGTTCGGGGAGCGTGAGGAGGGGATAATCGCTGGGACCGGCTCCTACGGGATCAGGCAGAACGTTGTCGAGAGTAGGATGCTGGAGGGGTACGGATGGAGGCGGTGGTGTTGAAGGACGGCGCTTGCGAAGAGTGTGAGGTCGGGGGGTCGAGTTTGTGGGATTCCACAGGCGAACGGCGGATAGTCGGCGGGCACGGCGTGTAGAGGGAGCAGTACCCTGTCGTGGGTGAAAAGGCGAATGACGGAGGGCAGGCTCTTGATGGCGGTCGGTGGGTGGTCGTCTGGGAGGGTGCTGTGAATGCAGGGCGGCAGCGGCGGCGTCGGCGGCTAGATTGGTAGAGGCTGGGCCGGTTCCGGGATACGCGGGCTTGGGAGGGTCGAGGCTCGAGAAATGAGGGTTGTTGTTGCCCGGGGCATCTACTACGGTGGCCGGGACGGGCTTGGAGGGAGGCGCTCGGGAGAGTGGAGGATCCGTGGGAAGCAGGATGTCGGCACGGCCGCCGAGACGACCGCGCTGGGAAGGTATGGCGGCGTCCTTCTCACGTGAACGTGAGCGAGGGCGAGGCAGCGGACTTGATGACGGTAGTCGCAGATGGAGATGATCTCGTCGTCGTGATGGTGTTGGTTGTGTCCAAAAGACTCTACGCTAGCTGCCAGCGCACGGAGCTGGCGTTGGTGGTGCCGTGGAGACGCAGGCGCAGATGCAGAGAGTGACGCGGATGGAGGAATGCGATGAGTGTGATTTGTCGTCGCTAGGATTGACTGGGCTGCGCCAAGAAGGTCTGGCGATGAATCGGGGATGGTGGTGATGGCAGTGGCAGCAGCAGCAGCAGCAGCAGCAGGATCGTCAGCCTCGTAGTCTTCGTGATGGTCGTCGTCTGGGCCGTGGCTGGACTCGTCGAGGCAGCTGCAGGCAAAGGTTTTGCTGGAGTCGTCGATGATCAGAGAGGAAGAAGAAACAAGGAGAAGGCCTCGGCGGGCCAGCCAATCAGAGGCGGGGAAGGAGGCTGGGGGAGAAGTCGACGACCGGGGCAATGATGCGCTGCTGCTGAAGGACGCCCTAAAAGCCAGCATCCTCAGCGAGAAGAGAGACACTCTAATGCGGTGAGTGTGCTCTGTAGGTGGGTTCGGCTACAGCGAGCCCGCCTTTCATAAAAAAAAATTGGTTGTCGTCGATCTGGGGAAATTGAGTGTAGAAAAACAAAAAAAAAAAGAAGGCTTCCAAGGGGGGCGGGATGCCCGGTCTTGAAGAATCAAGATGGTTGGGGGTGCCAGTGCAATTGGAACGCCAGGATTGTCTCCTTGCAGCAATGGGCAAGTCACTGATATCCAGCGTTTTCCATCAAAGAAATGACTGACTGGGGATGAGTTCTTGCCCTTGTCTTTTGAGGATATTGTTTCTTTTTTCTCTTTCTGGTGGTTGACCCTCGGATATTGCATCAAATGTCAACGGCCGGTAATCTGCGCTCGCCCATGTATTAACTTTTGGCGATGATAATAAATAGTCAGCGGTATACGGCAATAGCGATCATACCCTGCCGGTATTAATAGCTGACTCGAGATTGGTGATGTTGAATTGAGGCCCTCGCGAATCTTCTCTTCTCTTCTCTCACCGGGAACCAACTGAAGACACAGGGCGAGACCAACACCTTTTAATAAATCGGGCACTAGGCCAAGTCTCATCCCAAAACCCTCGTCATGCGCACAACCCCTCCCTCTCCTTTTTTTCTTACTCCCGTCTCTTGTTCCCTCACAAGTAAATTAACCTAACCTGCCTACGTATGTATGCGCTGGCTGAGCGCGGTCTGTTCGTTTGCTACCCGACACCATATCTCCATCCCATCCACCCAATCTTCAAACCAGGGGCCCCGTCCTCTTGGGTTTGACAGGCGACCGGCTTCCCGACAGGGGGTTGACGGTCCCATAGATCCTGCGTATCAAGGGATGTTCGGGTGTCTCCAATGACGCCATGGCGGGCTTCATTTCGAGCCGCGTCCCTTTCAGCTTGCTAAGACGGGAAGACCAAGATGAAGAGAGTTTATTCTTGATGATTTCAAAGCAACTGCTGGTCGACAACTCCTTGTCGTGAAGGCCTCAAAATCTGTCCTGATGTCCCCTGGTTCCTGCATCTCCCTGCATAAAATGTAATAAGATGCACAGCAGATTATCGATACGTGGTGGGGGGTTATGGATATGCCCGATGGATGGATGCTTTGACATTCGATCCATAGTTAGAAAATTCCTCCTGTCTGCCCCTGTCTGAGTTGGGATGAACTTCTAACCTCTACACTCTGCGCCGCAAAAGAGTCTGTAGCCTCAACGAGTCTTTTCTTCTAATTTTTCTCGCACCTGACACGGCGACGACATGGGATCCTGCCCATCAACCCCTAAAGACCGTTCGATCATGATGCTCTTGGGGTGGTAGTTGCTACGCTCAGACTCTTGAAGAACGGGGTAGACTTATTCACGACAACCACATCGAGCAACACTCAGACAGCCCCTGACCCAGCGCCCGACCGGACGCTACGCTGTCGTCACACGATGAAGGCTATCTCTCGGTTGTTTAAGACGTTTGAGGGGGGGAGATGTCAGGCTCGGAATGCAAAGCATCCGTCGTGATTGTTACATGATGGGATGTATGGATAAGGAGATCTCGCGTGTTCCTGAAATGGAAATCCGGGGGCTTTTTATCGAACCTGATCAGTATAGGTTACATCTGCGTGTTGTGTTGCATGGCAGTTTTCTCATGTGCCATTTCTTGGGCTCTTCATTCGGGTGTAAGCAGCAATACTACCATATTCTTCTGCAACACACCAAGCCTCATCACCTTTCTGGCGAAGCCACATCGCTCGCTCTGCCGCGACTCAAGCCCGTCTTTTTGTACATGCCAATTACAACCCCTCATCCCTTCCCTTGCATGATGATCGGCGAGCCTCGGGACCCGAATCGAGACATGGAGAAGCTGTCAAATCAGATTTGCCAGCAAGGCCAAGTGCCGTGGCAGGCGGGTGAAAGATTACAAGGCCGCTCGCCCCATAGAAATTGTATGTGAGGACCGGCCCTGTTTTCTTTCACCCGCGTGCGTGGGGAAGAGAGTGAGAGAGAAAAGAGCCAGCCAGCTACCTATTTTGGCGTCGTGCCGCTTTCTCAGCTGGACGCGGCCCGGCCCAACTCCTCCGCATGGCGTCGTGAGTCTAGCGTTAGGTACTGTAGCGTTCTTTGGAGCTTGGGAGAGCTCTCTTAGCTTTTCTCACTCAGCTCTGCCGGCAGGTGACGTCGTCAATCATCTTGACTCTATTCAGCAAGGACAGAGAGCACACAGAAAGAAACGATCCTCTCGCCACCGCATTCCATCTCTGTCGCACAAACCTAAGCTCACTCTCCCTCACCATTCTCCATGTCGCGTGACCTCTCCGCCTTTCCCTTCCAACTCCAACTCTAGCCCTCCCCCCTCCATTCCCTACATCTCTTCCAGAATTTATACGGTACGGTGGTAGCAGGTCCCCCAACACCCGCAGCGTAGCGTCTACCGAATACCTCCGCGGCCATGACGGACGAGAATACGACGTCGACCAACGGATGGAGGCCTGGTACCGGCGTAAGCTCCGCCGTCAGCGCGGCCCCGCCCTCCGGCCACGGGCTCCGACGCGCCATGACCGTCTCCGTCGCCGAGGACGCCGCTGCTGCCCGGAGGGCTTCGGCCTCGTCGTTCCCTGCTATGGACACGATGCCGCCACGTCGGAGTTCCAACTTTTCAGAGTATAGCCTTAGTGAGGCTCGCGACATACTGAATCCCCAGCCCAGAGGTCCCGGTAGCGCCGACACCTTCTCTTCCCCAGGGGACTCTTCATCATTGGCATCCTTGTCACTGGCCTTTGCTCTTTTGCCAGCTCTCGCGGGCGTCTTGTTCAAGAATGGAAGTGCTGTCGTCACAGATGTCATGCTGCTGGGCCTGGCTGGTGTCTTTCTCCACTGGTCTGTCACACAGCCATGGTGAGTTGGCTTTCATCCACCCCAAGGGTATACGCTCACATTTTGCCGATAGGGCATGGTATCATTCGGCGCAAGAGGTGCGGATACAACGTGAGGCAACGGCTGAGAGTGTCATCGAGGATGATAGTGACCTCGACTCGAGCCCTAACATGCCAGCGCACTCCTCGCCACTGGATCATGTTCCCGAGGATGAAGAAACACAACCGGAATCCCATGAGGATCTGCGTGAAAGGCATCCCACAACTCAGCAGCAATCAGCTCTGGCTGAGCTATACGTCTACGAGATTATCGCACTGGCATCATGCTTCGCCCTTCCACTCATCGGTGCCTACCTCTTACACGCCATTCGATCCCAGCTTAGTCGCCCATCAGAGGGTCTTGTCTCTAACTACAACTTGACCATCTTCCTTCTCGTATCAGAACTCAGGGTTCTCTCCCACATGATCAAGCTGCTCCAGTCACGAACACTCCACCTACAGCGGATAGTCCAGGGCAGCCCCTCCAGCATCCAGTCAACTCGCAACGCAGAACAGTTGGAAGCCGTCCTCGCACGCTTAGATCGACTCGAGTGCCGAATCACGGCTGAAGATATCATCTCTACCCAGGGGAGTAGGCAGGAGTCTTCGAGGTCGAAGCAGCAAGACAATGCTGTGGCACGCGATGTGCGCAATGCCATCCAGCCTGAGCTCGATGCCCTAAACCGGGCTGTACGCCGTTATGAGAAGAAGGCAACCCTTCTTCAGTTTCAAACAGAGTCAAGATTCTCTGGCGTCGAATCAAAACTAGACGACGCTATCGCCTTGGCTGCGAGTGCTGCAAAGAATAGTGCATCACACAAGAACATCTTCCTATGGGCCATCGAGTCACTTACAGCCCTCGTCCTTCTCCCCTTCAAAGCTCTTTTGAGAATCCTACTGCTGCCTCTCAGCACACTCTTGGCCTTGACTAGCAAGAGTAAGAGAAAAGCACCAACGTCTAAATCATCCCGTGGCCGGAACGGCAAAGCAGCCATGCAACCCAGGTATAATGGGGATCGAGTACCAACTCGAGTGTCTAAGCGATAATTAATTCGTGCCACCTCGCAAGGTTGAGCAGTCTTTAATAATAATATTCTTTTGTATCCTGACCAGCTATGGTGGTTAGTTCTTATACGACACCTGGAAACCCTAGACCTTGACGTGCTTGGTCGGGGATATGACAGTGTTTCGCTCTGCTACATTCACCCATCTTCGGAGAACTTACCTGGTGGAATTGTTTACTTTGGTCGGCACGGTACGCGTAGATCAAGTTGTCCAATAAAGGTGGTTCAACGTGGTTCTCCTGGAAGCTTAGAAGAGACGCTCGGTGACTGAGCCAGCCATATCCAAGATGCCCAGGGCGAAAGGCCCGAAATGTAAACCCTCAGGCCGAGATGGATCGAACCTTGTGCCAATGGCAAGACCGAATTGGGACCAAAACAATCAACACAAGATGAATCGAGAAATATGAGCCCCCAATCTTGCACCGGTACGCATCCGGCTGAATAAGAACCGACCGTGTGGTTTGTTGTCGGCCATGTTTTGCCTAGAGTTGCGACCTTGTCTCAGGTTGAATCTAGCGCCGGGCTTGCGCCAGCCCAGCCAGCCCAGCCAGCCGTGGCCACTAGCGAGGCTTAAAGGCCTTGATTCTGACCTTGGGCTGACGGTTGACCTTCGCTTACGGCTTTACCGGGTCGAGGACGTGTCCTGAAGCGAAGGATTGAGTTGGTGGAGGTGGGAGCTAGGAATTGACTTTCCCGCGTCCACGGCCGAGTGCAACCTCAGATGCTCTGCCACGCTGTTCCGCAGTAGCCAACATCACCAACACGCTAACAAGCGTTGAATCAACAAACCGCCTCGATCCCGATCGCGTCACCCTTGCTCGGTGAGGTCATCTAGAGCACGTGGATGAGGATCGCATTTTCCGGTGTCCAGGATCAGGACGGCCGGAGGTCTGGTAGTGCGGGAGAGGGCAAAGGCCTGACATAGTTGCAACACCTATCCGAGGGCCACTTGCGAGGAGCCAAAACACACAAACACGATGTCCCGTGTATGATGGTGTTC